TAAGGTTTCCCAGTACTGTTAAATCAGCCATAGTGAATATCATTAAAGAGAGACAGGAAGGAAAAGTATATGAACCTTCTCAATCTGCTTACAGATCGAGAATATTTGTAGTGGAGAAGAAAGGAGGAGCATATCGGTTAGTACATGATCTACAGAAACTGAATAGTGTCACTATCAGAGATGCAGGTCTTCCACCTAGGGTTGATGATTTTGCACAGGAATTTGCGGGACACTCAATCTATGGAATAGCTGACTTATTCTCAGGATATGATGCATGTACACTAGCCAAGGAAAGTAGACATCTGACAGCCTTTCATGCCTATGACTTAGGTCCACAACAACTGACATGTTTACCTCAAGGGTTCACTAATTCTGTAACAGAATTTTGCAGAAGAACCTACCACATAATTAAAGATATGTCGGATCGGGCTGGAGTATTTGTTGATGATATCGCAATTAAAGGTCCTCCTACCTTGTATGATGACCAGAATATTCCAGAAAATCATGGAATAAGACAATTTGTCTGGGAATATGCAAATACTTTGCATGAATTGCTTACAAGAGTAGAAATTAGTGGAGTAACGGTTTCAGGAAAGAAGTTTATATTGGCAACTCCTGAACTGGAATTAGTAGGAAGAATAGTTTCTATTCATGGTCAGAAAGTGAGTCATGGGACTATATCTAAGATCATGAAGTGGAAACCATGTGAAAATGTTTCGCAAGTTAGAGGATTTCTTGGAACAGTTGGTGTAGCCAGGAAATGGATTAAAGATTTTGCCATAATAGCAAAGCCTTTGACTATGTACACTAGAAAGCAAGTGGACAATGAGTTTTACTGGACGGATGAAGCTCAGGAAGCTATGGACACTTTGAAATTAGCGGTCCAAGAGTCTGGAGCCATCAAACCATTGAACCTTAACTTAGCAAGAGGAATTGAACCAAAGGATCAATGTGAGTCTGACATAGGCTTAGTCACTTTAGCTGTGGACAGTGCCCAGACTGGAGTTGGATGGGTTCTGTATCAAATAATGGAAGATGGAATTGAATATCCACTGGAATTTGGATCTAGAACATTCAGTGAGACTGAAGGTAGATATTCACAACCAAAGTTGGAGCTATATGGAGTATTTAGAGCAGTTAAAGCCTGCAAGCACCATCTTTGGGGATTTCATTTTCGAATCAAGGTTGATGCTCGATCGGTTATCCAGATGGTAAATAATCCAGATTTGCCAAATATGCCTATGACTAGGTGGATAGCCTATTTGCATTATTACAACTTTGAAATGGAACATGTCCCAGCTACCAGACATAGAGCTCCTGATGGTCTCTCAAGGAGAGAACCTGCAGAGGAAGATTCATCGGAATCAGAAGCAGAAATTGATTATGAAGATGATCATAACTTTGTGAAAACTCAGAATATATTGAATTACGATTCCTTAGGAGTCATTGAACTCAATGGATTTCAAAAGGAATTAGCAGATTATTCATATGAAGAATCACAAGATCTGTGGACAATTGAGAAGTTATCTCGGTTGAACAATCCCATTGTGGAATGTTTCCCATTAGAAGTCAAGTGGAAGCGACCACAAGTACTAGTGTATCAGGATGAGATTCCAGACAGTCCTAACTGGCAAGGAATCCATGAAACCTTGTCAGGAGAAATAGAGGAAGAAGGTGTTAGACAACCATTAGACATGCCATTTGACCCAGAGAGAGAAAGGGAGTATTTTCAACCCATTATAGATTATTTGCTCGAGATGAAACTACCTAAAGACACTAATGGTAAGAGAAAAATTCTAATGTTGGTCAAAAAGTATTATTGGGGAGATGGAAGATTGTGGCGTCGTAACAGACAACGACCTCCACTACTCGTAATATTGGACATAGACAAGAGAATAGAACTATGTCAGAAAGCTCATGATGAAGCAGGACATAGAGGTAGGAATCCTACATTTAAGAACCTCTCTGATAAGGTATGGTGGCCTAAAATGTATGAGTTTGTGAAGTGGTTTTGTCAGACATGTGAGGAATGTCAATTTAGGTCCAGTTATAGACCAAAGATTCCCATTAGACCTACATATGTCAGAACTATTTTACAAAAATTTGCATTGGACACTATACATATGCCTAAGGCATCTGGATACAATTACATTGTGGATGCCAGGGATGACTTATCGGGATGGCTAGAAGCCAGAATGCTTCGTAATAAGAGTTCAAAGGCAATAGCAAAGTTCATATTTGAGGATATTATGTGTCGTTATGGTTGTATCCCTCAGATAGTAACTGATAATGGTTCAGAATTCAAGGATGCAGTAGAAACACTAGTCAAAAGCTATCACGTTCCTATTATCCATATATCGGCAGAGAACCCTAGAGCCAATGGGATGGTGGAAGTTGGTCATAGGTATTGGGTAGATGCTATGTGGAAGAAATGTGTGGGAAATACTAACAAGTGGCCAGAGTGGTTTTTCTTTGCAGTATGGGCAGATAGGATTACTACTCGTAAAGCTACAGGATTTTCTCCATATTATCTTCTGTATGGACAAGAAGCCTTATTCCCATTTGATATTTCAGAGAGGACATGGCATATATTAGACTGGCATAAAGTCAAAGACACGATTGGATTATTGGCCCTAAGAATGGAACAGTTGAAAGAACGAGATGCAAACATAGACCAAGCTTCCAAGGATTTAGCAGCACAAAGGAAACGTACTGCTGACGCCTATTGGGAGAAGCATGGTAAGGAGCAATACAAGAAGAGTATACCTCCAGGAACCATAGTATTGGTATATAAAAGCTTTCTAGACAACCAACAGGGAAATAAGGGTGCTATTCGATGGTTTGGCCCATACTTTGTAGTGGAAGTTAGACCATCGGGTGCTTATATTCTTGCTGAACTGGATGGAACAGTCTTATCTAAACCGATTGCAGCTCAGAGAGTCAAAGTGTTTTATTTCAGAGACAATAAAGAGCCTATTTTACATGACAAAATCCCAGAAGAAGCAGGGAAATGGAAAGTCATTGAAGAATGGCACAGAGGAAGACAAGAAATACAAGCCAGAAAGGAAGAGAATAATAAAATGGATGAAGAGGATGTATTAGCCGATGTAGAGGAAGAGACAGAAGACCCAGCGACGATAGACATGGAAGAACTTGAATTATCAATTGGAGAGGAAACTCGGTTTCTATGAGTCAGAAGTCAAAATAACAGAAAAAGAACAAAATTTAATAGATGAAGCAGACCATTGGAAAAGAGTGTGGGACAGATGGATGTTGCGTAAAAAGTTACAAAAAGAAGGAAAACGGATGCCCAGAATGCCAGATCCATTAGAAGAACGAATCAAAGAGGCAGCTCAAGAAACGAAAAATAAAACCGATTATAGAGACCATGAAGTACCCCCAAAAAACAGGAAAATATCTTAGGTATAAAGATGAAAATAGTTCTTGTGGACAGTTATTCACACCATCGCCAGTGAGTCTGAGATGGTTGCATACTATCAATATACGAGAAGATAGGGAATTCAAAGATTCTTCAGATGAGGAATTCGAGCAGTATCGACAATCACGAGAACCTTAGAAGAAAAAGGATCACATGATTAGTCACTTTCACAATTCAATATCATCTTAGCGCCAGCACTTGGAGAAAACTACTTGTCTCCTACACTAGTTGAAAATGGATATTTATACATTGAGTTTTATCAGTGTTATTTATTTTCGAGTCCTAATGTTTGGTACAGGTGATCATAATCATATCTACGCTAGTCATACTTGGACTTATAGTCCTTTGTATCGTTACGTCTGTGGGACCAGAGTTTTATGATGGTCTATGGTACTATGTAGTGGAATGCCCAACAGAATGGGTGAAGGAACAGTGGAATCGCATCAGGCAAAACAATCTATCGGCCTGGATCAGGCAACAACAACCTCATCAAAGGCCAACAGAAATTGCGTTGCAAACCCTGCAACCTCCACCTTTGGCACACCTCAGACCTCAAGGCAGGGTCAACATCCCTCAGCCTTTACAGATGCCAGCAGAGGATCAGCAAACCACAGGACGTATATCTGGGATTTCAATCTCATTGACAAGGACAGACACGTCTCATAAAGATGGGTATGTATCCAAGGATTGTGGAAAAATCAGAAACTAAATATCGAGACGAGCTAGACCAGTGACTGAGATTGTTTAGTTCTGAAAACAAGAGACTAATTGCATGTAAAGCTGTTAAAATATTGTCGCATGCTTGGTGAAAATTTTCGAGAAAAATCGGTAGTTGCCGAAGTTACTTGAAATTTGCGCTCGATAGCTCAGAAAACACCAGAACCAATGATCGCTCAAGAACCTCTCACCTTATTCACTATCCTAGTCACCTCACTTTTAGCAAGCCTTCTCATTGCTGCAATATGGAGCCTAGGAAGGGAATATGGAAGGAGAGAATCTCAAACGTCCACCATGAATGTTCTCGGGCTGGACAGAGCAATGCCACCTCACCCAGAGGAACACAGTGGTCAAGATGAATTGTTTGAGCAAGAGTCGGCTTCAGGCTATGAGTCATATGGTGAAAGATGGTGTAAAGATTCAGGTATGCTCTCATCGTCGAGACTTAAGTATTCACGAATGAGACATTAATGCCTTGGAATCCATCAACAAGCAGGTTGAATGGGTCTCATATGAATCTTAGTGATCGGAAGAAGGAAATGGAGATAGGGAAGGAACAGCATATCCCCTGACCCCAAACATTTCTCCACGAACCCTATGTATTTTCAGAAAAATAAGAGTTATTTTTCTACCATCACCAAAAACATAAGAAAATCCATAAAAGCAAGACTAAACATTTTCATTACATTTCACATTTTTTTTGGTATTTTAGACCAAGAAGTTGAGTCAAAAAGAGTTATAAGTTGAAGACGAGATGAACAGAAGGTGTTGGCGTGGGAAAGAAATTATTTGAATACACCAACTCGAATTTTTACGAGCACCCCCAAACCACGTTCTAAGAAAGATGGCCTCTATCACAACTACAATCACTCTTGCCATTACACTTGTAATAGCTCTCATCCTTGTGGCGATCAGCATGAGGAAAGCTATACAAGAATTGAGAGAGAAACAAGACGTGGTAAGGACATCAGACTGGAATGTAAAGATAAGCTCATAAACCAGAATCATCTAGCCACTAGAAGACCCTGTGTCTCTTCGAACAGTAAAACGGACTATCCCAAGGGAAGTACCCTTATCAGTCAAGGAGTACGTAGAGGAACTGTACAAGGAAACGGGGGATGAGAACGTTTGGAACTTATTGCCTCGAACTCCAAAGTACGTCAAGAGGTATTAGAACATGATCGATCAAACTGATCCATCAGATCATATATACCAGTGGACCTGGAGAATTTCACCCATACCGATTCTACCCTCCTGGTGACTGCATCGGACTGGAGACTGGAATTTCCGAGCAACGTCCAAAAATATTCTACATACACGAATGTGAGACAGAAGAGGAATTTGAGGAGGAATGTTGGCCCGAAGCCGAAGACTAACTTCCCTTCTCTTAGTTACACATGTTGCGGCTTGGAACCTCATGTTTCATGATCCGACAACTATATTGTAATCTTTCTTTTTCCGAACTCAATTCATTCACTTCCGCGCTTAAGGATATTCCAAAAAAAAAAAAAAAAAAAAAAAAAAAATTCATATATTGAATAACTTGTTGAGTAATGTACATGAAACAAGGCACGACACAAAAAGAGAAGAATAAAAGAAAGAGAAAAGAGAAACCAACACATCGGCGAATCGAATGTGAAGGGGGTTTCAAAAATTAATCACGTAAAAATGCGATATGAGAACAAGAGCATGTTACAGCGAGCCCAGTTGCCTAGGCTCAAGCTGTGACATCGAACTCTTAACGAAGAGCCAACAATAGCGGATTGAAGATATCGAACATGATCGGATGGAGCGTTGGTAATGGACTTGAGTACATGAATACAAAGTGATGACAGACCACGAAGTCATATCGCACAAGCAAAAGCCGAGAATGAGCGGTTATTCGTGCAAAACGGAGGCCGAAGGTGTTACATGACCGACGATATTGAGTTATGACGAAAGAATGAAAGGCACACGGTTATGAAAGATGAGTAATGATCGACAGGAGAGCGGATATTAGAAGAGCTAGGAGACCGACAGGAGACCAGGCGATTATGAACAATTAACGAACAACCGACGCAAACTGGACACAAATTAGGTCAAATGTAATTAGGCGGATATGAGTTTGATGATGTCCGGTATGAGGGAGAGATTGATGGCCATGAGCGTAACGGGAAATCGAAACGTGAGGAAATCGCGAGGAAAATACCGAAGTTGACGAAAGAACATGAGGAATGGCGACGAAGGAAATCAGGAGGAAAAACCATGCAGAGAGAGAGCGTCAAACAAGAAAAGCGAAAGTGAACCAGGTAGAAGGAGCAGAATCCAGGATAATGGGTCGTCGACGTCTATAAAAATGGGCGAAAAGTTAGCAGTGAAGAGGGGAGCAAGAAACTGGACTGATCTGGCTACTCACCTCTGCTACCCTATCTGTTCCATCGCGACTACTCGACTCATTAAAATGTCCTTCCAACCTTTCCTTGCTTGCTATGACTCGGTTGAAGAGAAGAAGAAGAGCAGAACGTTCGACACGGAAATTACCCGTATGTGCCACATGACCCGGAAGAAAATTATTGACTAAATAAATAATTAGTCAAACATCTTGAGAATCCTAAGAAGAGGAAGAGAGCTTCGTCTGAGGGGGCCGATGAATTGCCATTTGAAGATTGTTCCGATAAAGAGCTCAGCGAAATTCTTACGGAATTAACTCGCAAGATTCATGCGGATTGTGAGAAGTATTTGAATCCGAAGACGGAAATTCCTGCTGGTGAGCACATGTGGGAATGACCTGAGAAACAATGATTTTATTTACCTTAAATCATACAAGACATAAGCGAGAGTTCAGACCCGATGGTTATCGATTCCGAACATCGTGGATGGCAGGAACCCGATTTTACCGCTTGGGGAACTCAAATTAATCATCCCACCTTACATTCTCCCGAATATTCCGAATGGATGGTTCCAACACCGCCATCCGAATATAATCCGGAATATAAATTCTCTCCCACTTTTTCCGAATACCTAATTAAGATGATGCGCGCCGACCATGATCAGGGTTTTCCTAAAGGAGTTAAGACTGTCAGCGACTTCCTGACCAACCATCTAGTTCAGTTGGAAAAGGATTTGGACCGTGCTTGGCAGACCGCGGAAACGTGCATGGACATTATTCAAGATGAGAAACAGATGCGCCGAAATCCCCGACGCCTCGGAAATTTATTCCGACCCCAACACAGTAAACGCGAATCTATTCGAAATATCGAAGAAGCATCCGATTTCCTAATCGGTAGAATACTCCTGGAAGCCACCTTAGGCAACACTACAGATGAAGTACACGAGATGGAACTCGAACTTCGTCATGCACAAGGACTGCTTATGGAATGGTTGGGAAAGGCCGAACAAAAAGTCCGCAAGCCTCATGACAACCCCATCAATCTATGGAACTACCGCATTTATCAAGAAAGAATTTATTCGAAACTCAAGCGCTTTAGTCTTGAAACTCTCGAAGAACTTCAGCTTGGCTTGGAGAATTACCGCGATCATTATGCGATTTATTTTCCGGGAGAAACTTGGGCGAATGAGCGCGAAGAGAAATGGTGGTCCGACCATTTGACTAAATAGGGAAATTTCGTGTTTGGAAATGTGCTCGGAATCGCTAAAGAATGCTTGTACTTGTACTTCTGTGAAATTTGTCTGTACCAACTGAAATCCTCAAATCACGACTAATCACGACTCCGGTTTCTTTTATTTATTGGTGTGATTTAAAAGCGGATAAGAATTCCCAAGATCGCTGAGGAGAAAGCCAATGAGCATCCTAAATAACTATAGAAGATCACGGAATGGACCGCAAACTTATTATTTATTTATTTATTCATTCGAATGCGCTATCTTAAAGATTCAAAAGAGGATAACAGGCTCGCGTCAGATAAAATTCATAGGAAAACAGACCATTATAGAAGAGATTCTGAAGTCGCAAAAGATAAACAAAGTAAAAGGAACTAAGTAGAGTTAAAGCAAAAGGTTAGACACCATAAGGGAAGTGAAAAGACAATAAAGGCCCATTTAGCATAAATAGCGGAGTGCGCGTGCGTGGGAACTGAGGCCAAAAGGGCACGGGAACCAGCGGAACCGGGCACGGAATAAGCCGAAGGCGTGCGAAATGCGCAAGAACAAACAGATCACGTTACAACAACAAGGGAAAGTCCGAAATGCAATATCCCGGTGCAACCTAAAGCCATAATTGCATGAAACAAACCTAGATCTAGGTATTAGAGTAAATTGCAAGGGACTGCAATTGCTCAGCTGTGCCTATATGTAGGAATATAAAAGTTACAACACTAAAACAACCAGAAACCATCACAGAAAATTGGATAAAAATCATACAACCTCCACGGACCAGAAATAAAAATAGGAATAAAATCATAACTCAACAAAATGAATTGAAATAAAATATCGGAAAAGTACTGAAGAACAGAGTCGATGGAGCGAGTATCTACGCGAACTTTCAAGTCTAGGGATTAAAAGATGGTTCAGAAAATAAAGAAAAACAGCAAATAAACTCACATGAAAACAAAAACAAGGTTTCCTGTATCAAATAAAATATTAGAAATTCGTGATAACGTGGGAAAATAGTTTTACGAACGTACGAAACGAATGACAAAGAGAAATCGGAAGAAAATCAAGGCATTCATATAATGAAAAATGGTCGGGTACGAGGAAAAGATGAAGGAATTGGAAATATTTATACGAGGAAAATAGGGAAAAATATGAATATTTGTCGGTCTTAAAGAGTTGAAGTATAGGTCTGTGTTCGAAAAGATTTCATGTTAAAATCTGAAGAATTGAGGGAGAAACGGATGTAATAAGATTAAAACACACTTGCAGAGAAGACTGGCTCAAACATCCTAAGTTTGTGGTTAAAACGGATGAGCTAGAAATGTGAAACTAAAGAGTTTGAGTCCAGGAACAAGGCATAATTTATCCAGAATTAATTGTAGGAAAATGGATGAGCTAATGCCAAAGCAATCTGGAGAACCTCAAAATTAAATCTTGAAAAATTCATATCTTCATAAATAATCCTCGTAGTTTACTGTTGTTTATACCGACGGAAAGCTACACTCTTAAGCTAACAAATAACCCCATGACATGTGACCTAGAATAAAGTGAGTAAACAAGGGTAAACAAGGTCATGATGGGTGTTAGGCAATGCAATTGGCTAATTCCCACACCAAAACTTCCAGAAAGTTCTAGAAGCAGAATGGGATGCTGATCGCTTACATAAGAGGATTGCTAAGCTCAATATAAGATTACTCAGCAATGTAAATAGTAAAGTGATATGTGAAAACAGAGCCCTTAGGAAAGGTATAAAAGACCGCATTTTCTGGTCTGACCCCTCTTCCTTCTTTACTCCTCTCCCCTACGTGCTCTGGCTCATAGGTCATAAGGCGTCCTAATAAAAATTAAGTTTTATTAGTATAAGTGTGCAGTTCAGATCACATCTGAGTAAAAGTGATCAACCCTCAGTAAAAAGTTAAGAAGAAGTTAAGAAATAGTGACGTTGAGTCAAGTCAGTTGGAGTCACTCCGAGTTAAAAGTGACAAGACAGAGGTGAAACGACTGAAAATAGTAGGTCTATAGCGCAATTTTCATGTGGGACAATCAGGTAGACAAGTGAATTGAACCCTGAGAATTTCATACACACACAAATAATCAGTAACACATACAAATATCAATACACAAAGCAACCAAAACGCTACAGTGGTTGAGTTAAAGTACCAATACTAACATATAAGTATCAGAAGAAAGAACAGCCTTTTATAGGACTTCTGTTCTCCTCCTTCAGCGCACGTCGTGATCGGGCGTGAATTCCATGGGATTGAGGGTGGAATGGCCAGGCGCGGTTGGATCGGGCGCAAATGCCATGGAATTGACGGTGGGATGGCCGGACACGGTCGTGGTGAGGTCGTTGGACGATGCAGAGAGGTGGTGGGAGAGGGGGGTGGGGCTACCGGGCGCGAATGCCATGGAAGCAGTGGTGGGATGGCTGGACACGGTTGGGCAAGAGCCAGTCGTGTTGACTCAGGATGTTATGGGAATGGACCTAGAATCTTATGGTCCGTGACTATAGACAATCAAACCTTAGCCCCTTCAACTTTATTTCTTTGTCAAACCCCATGCCAAGCTTTCCCACTGGGTTTTGGTGCTGGCTGGGGGATTTGTTGAGTTTCAAGGGACTTCCTTTGACCATTATGATTTTTCATATTAGATAGTTAGAAGTCATATGATGTATAAGGCAGATGCCGGAACTGTTCTCATTATCGAATACATAACCCAAAAACCTTGTACCGCAATTGTAACATCCTCACCATTGTGCCACCACTGTAAACTCAACCTGTAACCTTGGAACCATGTCCACCTCCCTATTCATCCTCTCCATGACAAAACCGCAACGAGGAGGGCATTCCCATGCCCAGCCTCCTGCTGTCCGCTCCCACCAGTCCACTGGGTGGTCGAGTGGTTACTCCCATCCAACCAGAAGTTCCCTATCAGGAACTGTAGCCTATCCCACCTCCTCAGGAGAAGGATACGGTCCAGGCAGCTCCAGGATGCCTGGCCACGCACCCGCGGGTCCCACTTCCCACGGTCACCCACTACCGTGCACTGGTCCACCAGCCCGCTTTCCCCAACAACTCCCGCTACCAGTACGCTCCCATGAGCGCCAAGTCACCGATAGCCACCAACTGGATGACTCCCTTTGGGAGTCCCAGTATCCCTCGCTACCGGTACGCTCCATTGAGCGCCAAGTCACCGCTAGCCAGACACTCCCAGCACACCCGCTACCGGCACGCTCCCAGGAGCGCCAAGTCCCCGTTAGCAGACAGCCAGGTGGCTCCCTCAAGGAGCCCACATCATACTCGCTACCAGTACGCTCCCAGGAGCGCCAAGTTACCGTTGGCCGACACACGGGTTGTACTCCCATACCCTCATCCTATTCTGCTCTCCCTCCGATGGCTACGCAGCCACCTCCATTAGTGAGCCGAACAGCTCAGGCTGGGTTCCCCGGAACCCATTCCTGTAACACAGGAAAGGCACACGTCGCAATGAGCTGACGTGGCGTTTCTTGGGTGCTACATGACGCAGGGGCGGCTATGGCTACTTGGCGCTCAACGGGCAAGTGTACCGTGCATGTGGACGATTGATGCTCGCTGAGGGAGCGGTCCATGGCTGAGTCACCGGTGACTTGGCGCTTGCGAGAGCGTACCGGCAGCGTGGGCGTTTGAGGTTCCACCAGGGAGTGGCCCAAGTGCAGGCTAGTGGGTACTTGGTGCTCGAATGAGCGTACCGGTAGCAAGGGTGGTTGGCGCTCTCTGAGCGTGCAGCCCGGGGGACAAGAGTCTGCCCGTTAAGGAAAATGCCAGGTGGCAGACCTGGGTCAGGAAGGGTGGGGTGTAGGAGGGAGATGGCCTTGCTGACGCGTTCGAAATGTAAATAAAATTCAGCGAATTTCCTGATCAAACATTCCAAACCCAGTCGAAAGGTACTTAGCTTCGACAGCCCCAGAGTCGCCAAATGGCTGCAGAACTTCCTGCCTGGGTCTATCTCGAAAGAACCCGACATATACCCAAATAACGATGTGGTTTGGGTAAAATCGCATGATGCTTGCAAAATCGCATTTAACTCTTGGGCAGCCTCCAGGGTAAGGCGGTATTTGGGTAGAAACTCAGTGGTCCAGTCGATAACCAACTGAGCCTCGATGTTTCCTGGACCCAGTCGCCTCCATTCTTGCAGTAGGTCGAGAGAGGGACAGGCGTGGTAGAAGGACAGGTGTGAGAACTCGTCCACTGCATGCCGCATTTCCTTCACCATGTAACGATACTCGGCAGCCTTGAGGGCCTCAGCTGCTGAGTTGGATGGGGTTAACTCCTGCACAGAAGCCCGCATTGTCGGTTGCTGGTCAGAAGCGGAAGCGGCTGCGACACCATTGTTATAAAAATGGGGCCTAATTGGCCCATTTCTATAGCGTCCGGGTGCAGGAGGGGGCCGTGACATTGAGAAGATGTTACAATTAATGTAACAGATGTTGTAACAGTGGGGTTTACAATAACATGGACATCAGGTGTTTTGGGTGATAATAGTTGGTTAGGTTGTTATTATTTACATGTCACGTGATATTGTACTGCGTAGAGCCCATAAGAGGCTAAAAATGGGAAAATCCCATTTCCATAACAGGTGGAATTAGCAACAGCTATTGGAAAGTGTCAGGGACTGGTCCAGGGTCGAGAGCATCCAGGTATATCACCCAGTGCTGAGGGCCTGGTGGGGTATAAAGCGGGCACGTATGGCAACAGGCCCAGTGCAGGCAGATGTCCCTGAAGTGGGAATGGTGAGAAGAAGACTGCTTCTCTGGTTCCCACTGTCATATCCGGATCTTCCGCCTCCCTCTGCCTCCCTCCACCCTATCCCTACACGACTCCTATGACCTCCACCAGCCCTCCCAATCTCTCTCTGCTGCCTCTGGTCGATGCCAACAGCCCTAGGACTACCTGACTCTCTCCCACTCTGCCTCCCATCTATGTCTGCATCACCTCCGGACCTCCACCACCATACCTCCACCTCCTTGGACCCTTTGTTCAAAGGAGATGTGCCTGCTTGTTGTTGATAAATCTCAACTTGCCTATCCACCCCCCTTCCCACCTCTGGTCTCCACACCTCCGGTACCTCCCCATTCCTATTTTACCTCCGGTCTCAATAAACCTTATTGTTTTATCATTTGATATTTTCTACAACCCCAATCTTCCAAACTACAACTTCTGGGCTCTGGACATTTCCAGACACCTTTTCTCTGTAGCTCCCTGCTTGTTCATAGACATTTCCAGACCTTGCCATTCAGTTGGCTTTTAATTCTCTCACTCCACAAACCTCAGACGTAATTTGGGCTTTTTGCCTATTCCTTATTTGTCTTGAGGATTCTTTCTAATTACTTCCCCTTCCCCTTGGTAACCTTTGTTTACCTTTGGATCCAATTGTTTCCACTATATGTACATGCATACCTGTCAGGGGACGACTCCCAGGTCCCCATGACCCTCCCCTATGGTCCACAGCCTACTGGTGTAACCAGCCCTATCCAGGGCACAACATACTGTGGGTAAGAAGATGAGAAGGAAGCTAACTTCTCATCTTCCCACAGTGGCCACCATATCAGGAAAACTTCTGGGATACCCAGAAGTCACATGAAGGAGTAGGAACCGGGCCCAGAGCATGTGGCATGTGGAGCATGCACACATGCAGGAAGTGTGGCAGGTGGAAGCGGGTCTGGATGCAGGTCCGGGTCCGGGCTAGTCAGGGTGTGTGCCCTGACAGTACCCCTCTAGTAAATAATCCCCCCAGTTATAATATAAACAGTCTTGAGCCCTCCAAAACCTCCTCCAGGACGTCTATCATGTCCCACTTGTCTGCTGCTCCAAAGAACTGAGTAGCAGGCACTCCTAGCCAAAAGAATCGCGTGACAAACAATTGACCCTCGCTAATGCCTCCTTCATTAAGTAGTGAGGGGGGGGGCATCCGGCCCCCTTCTGCTGGTGGCCTCGGTTCCTCCGTCGCCAGCCCCCCTGACAAATTGGGGACTGTTAGAGACCAGAAGCGAGACGAAGGAGTTGTCTCCATGGTGGAGGGCTTCGGCCTCAGCGACTCAGACCAGGAGCACTGTGCCAAGTTACACGTCCATGCCCTAATTTACTTACTGGCAACAAGAACTAAAAAGGGGGATCAACTCTAGTCGATTTTATCACTGGGGTGTAACCTATCTACAAGTTAAGTATATATAGTTACAGCAAAGGTGGGCCCATGAATGATGGGGCCAAGCAGAGCAGAGCTAATGGGGTTAAACATTAGCTGACTGAATATTACCGACAAGTCGGGTTATGGGGTTAGTGGGATGACAGGCTATAACCCAGAAATGGACAGGAGGGATTGGCCCAAAGGTAGACTTGCAGGGCAAGCAAGTGAATTGCCCAGCAGGGGTGGGAGTGTGTTAGCAGATGTCAGAGCTGTCCAGAGGCCTTCAGGGTTCCATACTTAGGGAGGCATAGGTAATATATTGAATTGAGGGGGTGGTGACCATTGAGGGAGTCAGAGGGGATTGCAGAATATGGGGGCTCCAAGGTTAGTGATGAAGGAGCAGAGGTAGTCCAGAGGGATCGGAGGTAGTGGAGGACGATGACCATAGATGGATATGACAGTACCCCCTTCTTAGGCCTGAACCCTTGAAGGCCCAGAATTAGTAAGGTGAGGGGAGCTGTACTTACAGAAAAACATGAAAACAGAAATGAGGAGTGGAGAGAAAGGAGAGATGGGAGAGGAGTCGAGGTTCCTAAGGAGCTTCAGGAGGCTTGTCTGGGTACTGAGAGTGGAAAGCTTTGACGAGGTCGGAGGCATGATCAAGTTCGCTGGCAAGGAGCCATTGTGTCTCCTTGTCAGTCCCTTCATAGCCTAGCCACTTGACCAGGTAGAGCAACTTGTTGCATCTATGTCAGTCGATCTTGGAGTCGAGTATCTCCTCAATCTTGAACTCCATTTTGCCTTCAATTTCTATTGGAGGCGGAGGTGGCTGGTGGCGGTTCAGAATGATGTTTGGGATGGAGGGTTTGATCTGTGAGACATGGAATACTGGGTGAATGGCTTGCATGTTTTCCAGCAGGCAGAGAGTGAGGGAGTGGGTTCCAATGCAGGCGATGATCTTGAATGGGCCAAGGTTTTTCTCAGAGAGCTTCTTGGAGGGTCAGGTGGAACGGAAATACTTGGCCTTTACATAGACCGAAGTTCCTACCTCAAAAGCTGGGGCAGGACTCCAACGGGAGTCTGCCAGGCCCTGGTAACAGATCTGAGCATGGTGCATTTCCTCGCAAAGGAAGTGGTGGAGGGAGTCAAGATCTACCGAGTACTCTTGGGTGCGTACTGATGTTAGGTCTCGCTCCGGGTGAACAGTGATGTTCAGATGGTAGCCTTTGTTGGCGAAGAATGGAGAGACGTTTGTGGTGGCATTTGGAGCATTGTTGTATGCGAACTCCACGAGAGGTAGGAGTTCGAACCAATTATCCTGCTGGTAGTTACTATAGATGTGCAGGTACTGCTCGAGCATCTGGTTCATCCATTCAGTCTGTCTGTCTCCTTCCAGATGATAACTGGAGGTGAAGTGGAGGCGGATGTCGAGGGCCTTACCAAGTGAACAGAAAAAGTGGGAAACGAACTCCAGACCCCTGTCAGAGGTGATGTGGGAAGGAACTCCATGATTGGAGAACACATGGAGGAGGAATAGCTTGGCCAGTTCCGGAGAGGTGATGGTATTGTGGGTAGGAATGAAAATGCACTGTTTGGACAGGTGGTCCACGATGACCAAGATGGAAGTGAATCCGGAAGAGGAGGGTAGCTGTTCAATGAAGTCCATTGAGATGGAGTTCCAAGGACGTTTGGGGATGGGGAGTTGTTTCAGTAAGCTGTAAGGCTTGTGACAAGGGACTTTAGCATGGGCACAAGAAGTACAGGAGGACACATAGTTCTTGATGAAGGTACGGATGCCTGGCCAGGTATAGTCACAACAGACTAGCTCCAGGGTCCGGTTTTGTCCGAAGTGTCCAGAGAGCTGGTGGTCATGTTTGTCTTGCAATATGTGGAGATGAAGATCATTGGAGTCTGGAACGTAAATGCGGTTGTCCAGCCTCAACAGGCCTTCAGCATCAATGGACCAGCAGGAATTGGGGAGGTTGGGGGAAGCGAGATGAGAAGAGATTGTGGTATCGGAGGAGAGGGAGGCTAGAATGTGTCATATCTGTGCATACCTGACCCCAACCCAACTCCTGGACCTCCTCCTTCACCACCTCTGGAGTCCTGCCCTACCGCTGCCCATTCTGATATTCACTTTCGGTCCTGGCACCACACCTCCTCTCACCTCCCATGCCACCTCCACTCCTCCATCCCTCTCCTGTCCTATCTCTGTCCGCTCCAATACTCACCTTGGACCAAACACCACTCCTCTCACCACCCTCCTCCCACTCCCCTGCTCCCTCCTCACAACACCTCCACCCTTCCGTCATCCTCCTACTCTTCTCCCATCCACTCCGATACTCACCTTCAGACCTGACAACTCTCCTTTCTGCCACTCCTTCCCTCTTCCCTCTCTCCTCTCTCTTCCCTCTGGTCCTCTTCCACTGACCTCCCACCAAGTTACAACCTTCCGCCGCTGTCCTGTACTTCGTACTCGGACACTGCTCGTACCTTTGCTCTGAGCCTCCGTCATAGCTCCTACCTCGGACTTTGACTCCACCTTGGCCTTAGTCCATTGCATTGGTGACCTCATACTATGTAAACACCATTGCCAATATTCCTCAGACTTTCAACCCCACCTCCGTAACCTCCATAAGCTCCACAACCTCCAAGCTCCATGGATCACCTTCAGCACTTTCGCCACTTGTAATGTATCTCTCGCATTTTTCCCTCATCCCTATTTGGACTGCTGCTTCTTCCCATTCTAGCCAGTTAGTCATCATCCCCACTTCCCCTCATCCTCCTGCCCATCTGGGCCTCACCCTCCTTACCTCCTTTCGGACATACCACACGTTCTGCCTTATGACCTTCGGTACCGCTCCACTTCGGTCATCCCTTTGTTCCCGTTCGGACGCCTTCATTCCGATTCGGATCCCCTTTGTTTCCTCATGCTTTCGCCCTCCCCATTATATATATCGGTGCTTGTACATACTTGTTTTAGGCTTAGTCTAAAATCAACCTGAAATGCCCCCTAGAGACTTCCTGCTCACCTACTGTGAAATTAAGGACCAAATGGACAAACAGCAATGGCACAGCGCTCCGCTTGAGTCGCTGAGGCCAAGGTCCCTCCTTGCTAAGTCTCTGGTTCCCCTTCGGAATCATCTGCCCTTGCCCAGTTCTAACAGAATGTCTTGATGGAGAGCCTCTGTGTCGATGAGTATGGCTGCCCAGATTACTGTGGCCATTAGGAATGTAGCTCATAAGGACGCAGTGAGCTGCTCTGAAGTGAA